TGATTTGAGCCGAATGCTCTGAGGTTCTATTCTCTCTTCCGGAATACGCAAGCACTTTTTACCTTATATATCAGGCTGCTACGTGAGAAGAACATTAAGGTTAGATTCTAGCACATTGCTCCATTCACATTGAGTCGACAGAGATGATGTGTGTTGAGCATGGCGTGGAAGTGTTTGGCTAAAAGTATTTCTTTTTGCAGCTTGTTAAGAAGCAATGCGTCTGGGCAGGCAGGCCCTTGATGATGAAGTGCTCAACAACAGGTCTTTCCTGAGTCATACATAGGTATATGCTTCTTTGCCGACCCATGACCGGTGCTGCCTACCTGACATTCAACTTGGCTATCCCCATCCCATATACTTCATATTTCCTCTTTGATTTCGGCAGGCAGCTTGAGCTTTTATTAGCTCATTATCTTTGTTTTTACTTACACTTCTTTCTTCGCAGTATAAAAAATGAATATGCTAATTTCTGCAATGCCTGTTTGGCTCTCCCTGCTAAACTTTAGCACCTGTCACATCGGATGTTTGGATGCTAATTAGGAGGACTAAACATGAGCTAATTACAAAACTAATTGCACAGATGGAGTCTAATTAGCGAGACGAATCTATTAAGCCTAATTAGTCCATGATTTAACAATGTGGTGCTACAGCAACTATTTGCTAATGATGGATTAATTAGCCTTAATAGATTCATCTCGTGAATTAGACTCAATCTGTGCAATTAGTTTTGTAATTAGCTCATGTTTAGTCCTTCTAATTAACATCCAAACATCCGATGTGACCCTACTAAAGTTTAGCACCTCGTATCCAAACACCCCCAATTGAGTTGCAGTCCTTGACATATTCCCTGTCCTCTTTCTGTTTGATGTGACATTTTTACATTATTACTGGACTTTTAAGGATTGCAAATAAAATATGATTGAAGCATGTTTTGCTGATTCATATGTTTATTTGTTTGATGTGACATTTTTACATTATTACTGGACTTTTAAGGATTGCAAATAAAATATGATTGAAGCATGTTTTGCTGATTCATATGTTTATTTGCAGAACATGTGATTAATGAAATGTTTGGACAAGAGCAAATGACCATTAACCAAAGATGCATGTATACTTTCTTAGTTATATTGTAGAAAACTTGTGGCCATCATATACTCATGGTTGTAATTTGGAAGCTATGTCTTAGCGAAAGGCAAAGCATTGATACTTCTTCGTTTGGTTGTTTCTTGCTTAGATCTTCATCAATTGGTTGAAGATTTAGGAGTTCTAAGAACTATTTGATTGAGTGTCATAACAAGATTTACTTATATTTTTTGACACTGCTGTATAGGCAGGCATGCTATGTGGGGCTGCGCTTAAGACACTAAGTTTGCTCATGGTCATTTGGAAAAGCTGATTGGGAGGCTGAAGTAAGTGGACCACTCTAGAATAAACACTTCTAGGAAACTTCATAGGAAGCGGAGTTGAGTCGATATTGATTGTTTCCAAGTAAAATCGTCTGTAGAATGAGCTTGTGAGGGACATCTACAATCACCCAACTATATTATTTTCTTGCTTATCCGCCAGTTCCCAGGATGACATCCGGTTATTCCACATGCTAAAGTTAATAGTGGTGTTCATGACTTATTTTATGTATATGAACGGATTCTTGACTTAGTCACCTGTGTTTAGATACATTACCACTAACATCACGATCTACAAAGTACTGTGTGTCAGATTGATCCAAATGTGATGAGATGTGCATTCTTTCAAAGGTTTTCTGGTTAAACTTTACTTTCTGGCTGATCCAAATATGATGTTATGTGCATTCTTTCAAAGTTTTTATTAAACTACTTTCTAGCTGATCCAAATCGGATGTGGTGTGCATTCTTTCAAAGGTTTTTGGATAAAACTGCTTGTCCTCCGTGCCGTGCATTTGTAATTGCGTGCATGACATGTTATTCTCGATTGTGGTTGAATGTATGTATGAATATGCAAGCTTAACCGTTATCGTACCTAGCTTTGTTTAATACAGTAACTACGTTTTTAGATTAAATATGTCTTTAAATTTATTTTCACACTATTATTATCTTGTTGAATACTCTCTGTTTTGCAATATAAATATTTTGCTGTCCGTGGCAACGCACGAGCACGATCCTAGTATAATCAAATTTATATAAAAGCATCAATATTTATGCCATCGGAATAGTGTTACTGGATACATTATGAATTTTTCATACCAACTTATTTGGTGTCATAAGCAGTGTTCACATTCTTCACTATAAAGTTGGTTTAGCCCAAGATAGTTCGGCCTAGGATAATTTTAGAAATTGATTATATTTATTTGGGATAGGGGGACTATGTTTGGCTTTCTTTCATGTCTATAACGACATCATCATGATTATATATGAAAGAAAGTTACGTGTCTACGTGGGACAACGCGAATGAATTGTGGGACAACGCGAATGAATTGTATTGGATTTCGGGCGTGTTTGGGACCGCTTATATAAGAATCGTTTATAATCTAATCAAGATCTTATGAGCTGCGGTCGAAAAATATCTCGGTAGAAAAAATCAGACATGTTTGCCAATCTTGATTATGTAGCAATCAAGGGGGTAAAAGGCCATATGTGCCCCTGACTTCCTCGGCCATCTTCTCGGGGAATGAGCCTCGCGACGTGCGAGTGGGCGGGGGTCGCCGAGGCGCTCTGACTGAGCCCGTGACGCGCGAGTGGGCGGGGGAGGCGAGCCGCGCAGAGCTGTGCGGGACGCGAGAGGAGGGGCATCAAGCGGAAAAAACGGCTGCGGCGCGGGAAACGCGCCCCCTCGCTCGCGGTCCGCAAAACGCCGGTCCTAGTTCATTTAGGATTTTTCCACCTCCCTCGATTGTTACAGAATCTAAAATAATCGAATGTGTTTGGGTGAGATTTTCGCTTATTTTCATCTCGATTCCGACTATAAGCGAAAACAAACACGCCCTTAGTGGGCTCGTCAGGCCCGCGCTAATAATCACTTTGCTCGCTTGAGAGGTGTCAACTTCACGTGGCTTCTGCTAACCTTTTCCCTTCAAATTCGGCTATACTAGAAAACAAGGCGCGGCTTTGACACACCCTCCTTTTAGTGTCGTGCCAGTATAACCCGCAATTATTGCCAATGTGGTTAGAAAAATGGAACATCTCGTATATGCATTAAGTTGTTTAGACAATTCACACTATAAGAAGGTAATAAATAAATAAATAAGGATTAGGTAAACCATGCTTGAATTTATGTATGGCTAGATTGTGTACACTGTCAGCTATCAAGCTTGTGTACAAGCTTGGGTACGCTGTCAGCTATCACATGTGAGCGCTGCACGTAAACTTTCTTTCAAGAAATATAGTGAACTCGTTTTTCACTTCTCAAAAGCTGGTTTCTAGAGCATACAATTTGATGTCATTCAAGACGTAACAAAGGCAATGTACATTTACCACGTGATCCAAATCAAGGCTTAATTGATGTTAATTTGTCAAGACACCACCACCTGCAAGGCCTCCAAATTCTAAGTGCCAGCTTCAATCTAAAACATCAGGATGTTCTACGAGTTACATTATAGTGGGCACACCCATCATTCGCAGAGCAACAAGTATATTTTAACGAAAAATAATTACAAATAGTGCATTTCTCTAACTGTAAAATATAAACATTTGCCTAGTGGCATCGAAAAGGCATACATTATTCCGTCAGATTACAGGTTGGGTTGTTATCTTGTACATCTTAATCAAGTAGCCTTTAGAAGCTAAGCTTACCCAGGTTTCTTGAGAATTCCAATCATTATTCTTTCTTGTTCCATACTGGAATGGCAGCAGCAGTGCTTGGAATATATATTTTTTACAGCGAAAACACTCTTGAAGAAGAGGATGAAGGCAGAATGCTACCTTCATAAATCTCCATATACTATACCGTGATAGCTGGATCGAATACAAGAAAAAATAGGCCATAATAAGGCAAGCACAATGGCATACAGTAGGAATCTCTAATTTCAGACTGAGCCAAACCAATGTTCCACCTGTCTGCTTCTACCATTCTGCACACTTCAAAAACGCCACGGTTACTGTCTTTGACATCATCATCAAAGTCGTCAGAAACTCTTTTACCTGTGTTGTTATTTTAGTCCAATAGCTTGAATTGCAGATTGAGTTATTAGCAATCATTTGTGTTATGTAAGTAATGTAACATAATACTTTATAAATTAAAAAATAGATAAATAACGACAACGTGCTTATGATCAAACTGGGAACAGGCACATCCTTGTCTTGTACAAGCATAAGTTGTACCGTTGGAATTCTGATATTGCATTGCAGGCTCTACAAGTAGGGTAGTTCCATGCTAAGAATTTAAGACCACAGAATTGTGCCTAGTTCTAAAAATGGTAGATTTGGGCTTTGGATCATGGTATTATTTTCAAAGTTCAAAATTTTCATATAAAAAATTGCTAAATTGCAGAAATGGAAGTTCAGGATTTTAGATCATGCCATGCCAATTTTCATAAATAGAATTTCAAAGCTTGAGTTCATGACATGGTCAAATATTAGATCTGGAGATTCGAAATTATAAAACCTTTTTCGACAACACAACAAAATTGGACTTTTTTTACTTAGATCTGATACATATTAAGTGGCTGTAAAATAGATGAAGAGAACAAAAGATTAGTATAACAGAATTGGGAATAGGTAATTAATGTGCTTGCAAAAATAACATGAGACAATCCCCTAACCTTCTTCAGTTCCTTCACTCTTTCTTCCTCCCTATCTCGTTTTGCTGTCACTGCACCTTATCCCACTTTCCGTGTAGCCAATCCTGAATTTTCCCTTTCTTCATGCAAGGCAAAAAGAAAGAGGAAATAAGAAATTAAGAAGAAATAAAGAAGAGTGCCAATTAGTATTGCTCGTATTGTAACCTACAAGGTTACAACTACGACTAACCACCATATGGCGGCAATGCGCGCGCCAACAGAGATGTTCCTTGCCGGCATGTTGACCAGCTCAGTCCTTGAAATCAGTCTCCTTCCAGACGACAACCCAAACTTGGTTGAGATTGCCGCATCTCCTAAGTCCTAAGACGTGTGTGCTGTAAGGATCCGCCGCCAAAGTGAACACCTGAAAAGATATGGCCGATAGGGAAACAAAATCAGTATGAGAGGCCTTTCATCATGGAGAACTTGAAAAATTATTATATGCCAATGAATCAGAGGCAAAAGTTTTGCATCAGAAAAAGAATACTTACATATATACATATACAAAATAGTGTCTGCTGAACAGAGCCAAATCTCGTGGGCATTTCATCGAGCAGCTGCATAGGTACTAGTGAGGGAGCACAAGGGTACCGGGAAGCTGCGCAGCGCCATCACTGGTTGGCTTCTTCCTCGCGGTGGCGACGCTCACCTTCTCCATAATAATGGTCACTTGCCTGACTCCATTTGAGGATGAGCAGAGGAGGCGAGGCGAGATCAAGCACCACCTCGCCGGGCGAGTGTGACCAGTAGAGGAGGGAGGCGGAGGGCTCCCACGCCAGGTGCCGTGCTTCGTCGATGGGGAATAGCCATGCCGTGCTGCATCGCTGTCGGGTGGTTGCGGTCGCGGTCGCGTCGCCTCGCCGGTGCGCAGCGGGCTCTCTATCTCCACTGCCGCCGCCACACTGCACGTGCAGCTGTTGGTCGCGCGTGCAACTGCCGGAGGGCGGAGAGGAGGAGGGGGGCGTTCGGGAAGCGGTCGGTGGCGGAGGCGCGGAGCAGAGAGGGAGTCGTGGGGAGAGGCGCGGCTGCTAGCGGCGCGAGGCGGAGCCGCGGAGGCGACAAGTTTTTGGGTTCGCGAGTCTTCGTGAGGTTTCGGATCCATATATGAAGCGGGCAGGACCCGAACCGATCTGCATCGAACGGTCCTTATCGCGAGCTGCCTTGATCCGACGGTTGCGGGATAACGGGCGACGTGGCCCTATTGGACGCCCGCGGTTTGGTAGCAGGATTCCTATTAAGAGCGGCGTTGCCGCGCCTACGCTGGATCAGGCCAGCGTGCAATTACTGTTCATAATGTTAATAGTGGTTAATATTTTCTGCAGTATTGCCACGGTAGATTTTAATTTTGCTAGTTCACTCTAATAAAGCAAGAAGTGCGATGAGATAGTGTTATTGATTTTAGTGAAGACAGTGGTATTAGATTTTTAATTTTGCTAGTTCACTCTAATTCAGGTGAGTAGCATGCTTGGTTTTGCTTACCTTGATAATACTTGCCTAGCTTTAATAAGTACTAAAATATGGTCAAAATCGTTGCCTTGGGTTTGGGGTACAGCCTCTTTTGCAGCTTCTATGGTCATATCGGGTAAGCAATACAATTTACTGCTATAGAATGGATACAAGAGAATTGTTATATGGATGTGGTTAGTTACATTTAAGCACGGTGTCATAATAGTAATCAAATCAATATATATATTGGGATCTACATTCTTGGTAATAGGACTGCATATAGTACTGTAAGCAAACAACTTCTTTAAGTTGGGGAAGGTGAAAAGTATAGTGACTACTAATTTTAGTACTTGTTACTACTGTTTTCTTTTTTATAAGGTAGCTAATGAGCTACTTTGCTTTTAATTAGATAATTGCAACTGAACACCTCAAAATATTATTGCAGCCCTTGATTGATATTATTGTACATGTACATACATACATACAACAGGGACAACTCTGAACATAGCAAATGAAAAAATAAATTAAGTTAGTACTAAAATACCCCTTAATAGGTTGTAGTGGCACCGGCGCCCTTTGCTGTCTTCCAATCTTACTCTTTTCTCTCTCTAAAATATAGCAGTATCACACAGTATGCTTTCTTCTTCAAAGGGAATGCAACAGCTGCAGAGAGGCAGAGGCTTAAGTCACTGTAGACAACAATTATTATAGAGATTTTAATTGTTGCCTCTATCCTGGTTTAGATGCCATTTGGTAGGCTTATATAGGCATTCCATTTTTCATTTATGAAGTAATGTGATTTTCTTTATTACTATAGGATAACAAAAGTTCAGCCTGTTGACCAAAATGCTCAAAATTCATTTGCTTAATCATTTCATACACCCATCCAAGCATCTACACTCTTTCCAGAGCTCATTCAAAGCTCCCACAAATTAGCTTCAAGGTTCTATCGTAGCAATCCTAGGCCAGTTGTGAAGGTCTGTGCTATTTTAAAGTTTTAAACTTTTAATATGCAACATCTTGGAGGGCGCAAATTTCATATACTACTGCAGTAATCCTCGTGCAATATCTGCCTTCTCTACAATAAAGGAATTTATGTTGTGCAAGCCAGGGCCCACCTATATATCCCAAGACATAATTTTTTTCAGAATTTCATATTGGTAACAGGATTTTTTTTGTTTGCCTGCTGCCTGAAACAATGGTCACAAATTTGATCTTATTGAAGGCCTAACTAAAAATCTGTAACATGCTTATATGGCTACTTGACCAATGTCCAAGATAAACTGACCTATCTGTTCTTGTAAAAGTTAGGGCAACCTAAGGAAGTTACTGATATTGATTCATGAAGGGAAATTATATATTTTATAAACGGAGATCTCAAAATGGGATACTATACATATAGGAAAGCTCTTAATTGAATATCACGTGCTTTATTGGATCCTAGCCTCCCAGCAATCGACGGAGAAGGCCGATAGTGCGTAGCAGGCATGAAAGCCCAAAGTCTAGAATAACAATAGTAAACCCATAAAATTTTTTTGGGGAAATCAGAGAGGCAGAGTGCTTTGTAAAATTAATTTTTACTATCAAAATATAGGTCCAATATTAGCTTGAATTGACCGATATCGTAGAAATACCTTTCCTGACTTGTCATTCATTACTGAATACAGAATATGAATGAGATAACATGCACCAACCATTTGAATCTGATACAACTCTGGGAGGTTCAAGCTGGTATAAATGGGAAAATAAATATGCCCAAAAAACAGTAAGTGATGGATACATTATAGGTACTGCTAGAAAATGGTGAAGCTAATATATTTCTACTATTAATAAATCATTCTGGGCTTGAATCCAAAATGAACTGGAGAAGCTTACCTTCATGAGAGAAGAGCCACCATTAGCTAAAAGAATGAGAAGAGCCACAGTGACGCAAGTACATACATTTATGGAAGTAACATGAAGGTAATAAGGTGCTAGAAAATCCGTATGGTAATAATTGGATACTGACTAACATGAACATGAGAGAAGAGCCACCATTAGCCAAAAAAATGAGAAGATACGGACTAACATGAAGGGCTTCCAATTTTTGTAACCCATAATCAAAGATGCTTAGGCTCTATCTTGTTTCAAATTAGAAAATTATGCGAAGAACTTACAGTTATGCAAAACTCCGCAGCGAGACCTGGGTGAACACAGCGAAACGGGTAGTAGGAGCAGGTGGCTGCTTAACTTTAAAATGTTTTCACCGGCTCAATCATGCATCTGTAAAATAACATCGGCAAAAATGTTACAATATGTTTTGTATTCAGTGTGCACACACAGTAGCCTGAAGTTGGAAGTTCTCAGGCATATAAATTTAGGTTTGGTGGGCACAGGCAGACATGTGCAATGAACTGTAAAGAAATAAGGAAACAAGTGTGTGGAACATGTTTTTGCGGCAACATTTAAAGAATCCCAGTATGCAGCTTGCAAAGAATAACAATGACGGTTAGGTAATATATGACAATGTTTCCATCCAAAATGAAGACACCATGGCCTAAATCCGATGGAATGTATAAATCAAATTAAAATGATGTACCTTGTTGGTATAAAGAGGATCAGAAGTCCCTGAAATTGTTGGATTGGAAAATGTATCCGTATTTGATGCTGCTATGAACTTGAGCCACAGATAAACCATTATGTCCAGTTTCCTTAGCCTGTGAATCATATAAGATGGGGCCAAAAACAGCATAACATAAATCTGGTCATAACTTGAAGCATCAGCTGCGAACTACTGCAAAATAAGGCCAAGTAGGAACATTTACATGACGAAGCACAGAAAGGAATTTGGGGTGCTGCAGCTGTATACCTTCCTCTCGTCTGCACATTGAATGAACCTAATCAATACGTGAGAAATGTCTGTCTCGCACACACGTAGAGAGAGAGCATGGAGACTATACCTTCATTGGATGATGCTGGATGCAGAGGACATGAGGATGGGGCTGGGCAGAGCACGGAGGGAGGACCAGACGCCTGGATGCTTGGGGCGACGAACAGGAGGTGAGGGCGAAGACGGAGGTCCGAGGAAAGGAGAGACGGCACTACCTGGAGCTGCTGACGCCGGAGGCCTCGCGCGCACCAGAAGAGGTATGCTTGCGATGCTATTGGCTTCGCCGGGATGGTGGTGGTAGAGGTGATGCTGAGGAAGGCGGCGAAAGACACAGGCAGCGAACGGGAAGAAACAGGCGGTGTGCTGGAGCAAATAGGGAGGGAAGAAGGAGATCGCTCGCCTGTAGCGGAGCCAAAAGAGCAACAGTGGCGCGATGGGAATCGACGGCCGCAGCCCCCCGCTGCTACCTCAAGTTCGCTCGACGTTGTAGCCGCGACGGCGTTGGAGTCCACCCGGCCCGAGGGCCGCGGCGCCGGGGGAGCAGCCGCTCGCGCCGGTGGAGCCGCCGTGCGCCGAGGGCCCATCGAGCCGCGCCCTTGCCGGGGAGCAGCCGCGCCGGGGCCACCTCGCCGCCGCGCCGGTGGCCGAGGGCACCTCGCCCTGCCATGGCTGGGGGCCAGGGCCACGGCGCGCCGCGCCAGGGGGCGGGTCTGCCCCGCCATGGTGGGGGGCCAGTGCCACCTCGCCCAACTGCGCCCCGCCATAGCTGCCTCGCCGCCGCCGTGACAGAGAGAGAGAGGGCATTGCGGGTTGATTTCGGTAAAGTTCGAGGGCTTTTTTTTGCAAAAAAAAACTTGAGAGGAGGTCTGGACTGCGGGTTGATTCGACTAAAGTTTGAGGGTTTTTTTGAAAACAAAACCACGCCTCGCACGCTCTGGGCCGTTCACGCGCTCGATCTGACGGCTGGGAACGGCTGGCGACGTGGCCACGCTCGCCGGCCAGCTTTTGGGCGTAGGTTTCATATGTAAAGATTGTTAGTACTATTTTTTTAAAGATTGTGTTTATAACTCTCATCGAAATCACGTCCGCTCTCTCTCATATATTTGTTCTGTCGTGTCTCGTACTGTCAAATTTATTTGGGCAATTCAGGTCCGGGGCAAAAAACAGTTTTATTTGACGAGCAAGCTAATGACCAACTCTCTTTTCAAATTAAAAATATTATAGTTTATTAGTTTTGTCATAAGTTAAGCTCGTCTAATTTTATTTAAGTTTACTAAGAAATACTCTGACATCCATGACATCAAATTAGAGCATTTATTTGACCCAGAAGATGTCAATAATATATATTTGTTTCTCGGAATTTGGTCAAATTTAGATAAATTTGACTTATGACAATTCAAGGCTAAAGTGATACGAAATTTATGGCCACAAAGTTTAGTTGACAAACTAATTCCATTACTAGCCATCTTCAATTTGCTGGGGAGGCCTACTCGAGCTAGCAGCTGGGGCTAGTAGTGCCCTTACCTTAGGTGCCAAGTCTTACTTGACACTTGATGACACCTGACGTCCTGACCTGATTTGTGCGTCCATCGATCTTGATGGAACGTGCTTTTATTTATATATCGTGGCGGCATTAGTGCATTCCTAAAGACTAAAGTGTGCTGATATGCCGTACGAGCACAATCTGTGTAGTGTATGTATGGTGTCGTGCGAGAGAGGTGATCCATAGCTTGCATTGATGCCGACACATCATCATGAAATAAAAAGGACAATATATATGTAAGGACTGTTCGGCAGGACTGAAAAATAAGTCAAAATACTGTTCCGACTGATTGTTGTGAGAGAAAAATACTGTTCTGTCTGAAAATACTGTTCACGTAAACAGTAATTTCGTGAGTGGGCTAGCCGGCCGACCGCCAGCCACCAGCCAGCCGAACAAGGCGGTAAAGTGTAAACCAGCAGGTCCAGGGATCATGACTAACAACTAGCTAGTCATCCAAGCGTGACCTGAATCGTAACGTTTTTATCCTTCTCTTGAGTCAAAATTTTCTAATTTTGACCAGGTTTATAAATAATCGGTTAACATCAACAATATCAAACAAATAAACTATTAGAATGTATTTCATCGTATATATAATGAATGAATAATCCAGCTTCATGTTATATATGTTTGTGCATTTTTTTTATAAGCAAGATCAAATCTAGAGAAGTTTAGCTAATTAAAGACAAAACTAAAACGACTTACAGCTTAGAATAAATGGGTTAGTTTTATGTGAAATACACTGTCGGTGGCAATGGTAGGCGCGGTAGAGGCAGTGTCTCGTTCGATACATGCACACATGGGCATCAGCGAGCACATAGATGGTGTGATCCATTTGCACTTCGTATGTAGGAAAAAGAAGTGATATGTACTGCAAGCTGTGCATCGATGTCCAACTAAAAATAGTTTGATTTAAGATACTTATAGAAGTCGATTTATTTTTGAGACGGGAGGAGTAGTCGTACGCTGTGTATCCTGGTCGCTGAAAATTAAAAGGGCCGTGTCACTTGTCAGTTTGGAGTGGAGCAAGACAAGAGGCAACACCAAGTACGAACACACAATGCATTTTTTTGAAACAAAACAACACACAATGCATGATCGCAGACTCGATCGGACGGACGTACTACAACACAATCATGCATTGACTGACCTGACCCACACTACTACTGGTATATGTTGGGCCGAACACCATCTACGTCTGTATCGGACCGGCCACACACCCTACATGGGCCGGACTGCATGCCCGTCACTTGCAGTGGTTCAGGTACATGGCATTCCATTTTACTTCCTTCTCTATTAATGCAAGCACGTACGACAGAGCTCTTGCCGACACTTTTTTTTCTAAATTTAAACTATTCTTAACGTAATGTACGAAAATCTATGCAGGTTGATATATATGTATCACATGATTGTCATTGCTGGGTTTATTGTAGAAAACAATTTTGATTAAAATGATGTCTTTTCTCCTTTTTTGAGTCGAAGTCAGTGAGTTGAAATGATGTGCGGCCACCTTGCCATGGCAGCTGCTGGGCGGCTACTAGCAACGAAGGCTACTCGTCCCGGCCGCAGCCCGTGGAGGCCACGCCGGCAGCTCCGGTGTGACCCGCCATGCACGATCCTTTCCGGTGGACGCGGGCCGCCGGATCTCCGGCGCTGTCCAAGAAAAGAATGGCAATCCATGCATGGTCGTCGTCGGCCGGAGATGGAGCTAGCCATGAAATGAAATGAAATGTATGTATGCAGGTGGGCGGTGGCAGTGCAGCATACAGCCACACGTCATGTGCCCGTACGTCATCATGATGACCACCTCGCCTCTCCGTCGCCACCGACGACCTCCTGCCGCCTGCCGGACACGGGACACGTACGGGCCTGCGCGGCGGCGTCGGCGTCAGGGACGAACGCGGGGCCGAGCCAGTGGTCGCGGAAGAACACCGTGGGTCGTGGCGTAGCGTAGTAGACGAGCGCCGTCACGGCGAACGTCGCTGCCGCCGGGCGGTGGCCGGGTGCCCGTTAATGCACGTACACATACAAATTCATGGCCTGCGAGTGTGTAGTGATTGGGCTCGTGCCCTTGGGCCCCAACTAGTATGGGATAAATGGGCCATGCGACTCTTAACGGGCCGTCTGCGAGCTTTAACCATGAATTCTAGCATAGGTCCCCTAAAAAAATGAATTCTAGCATAGATAGTAGAATCTGTTTCTCAAAAAAAAAAAAAAAAAAAAAAGATAGATAGTAGAATCTATGCAACAAAAAAAAATCTAGCATGAATTCTAGCATAGATAGATACAAGTGAACCTATCAAAAAAAAAAGATAGATACAAGTGACAAGGTTGTAGGATTGTATGGGATTTGAAATTATTTCTAAAAAAATTGGAATTAAAATTGGGACCAAACCCAACAACTAACGGTGCTAAGGGCACGTACAACGCGTCTCTTCGACCCGTCGTCGTCTCACGAGGCGACGGGAACGGCTCGTGGCCCGAGGCCAAGACGCCGGCTCCAGCAGCGTTGTACGAAGACTCGATGGCGCGCGGATACTGTGTGCCTTCGCGCCGGTGTCCTCACCTTCCGCAGCCTGCCGACGAGCGCCCGGTCTCTTCTGCGCGCGAGAGCTCGGTGGCCTCCCGCCTGCCCGTGCGACATCGGTTGCTGCCCCTCGAGACCGAACCCTAGCGCTCGTCGCCGGCCGCCCGCTCGCGACCCTAGGGACTGCCACCGGCCTCTTGGTGGCCCGCCCCCAGCCTCCCGCCGCTCGCCTCCGAGCCGTAGATGCGTGCGCGCCGCCGTCTGAGCTTGGACCGACAGAGCTGGAGCAGCCCCCGACGGAGACGGAGCTGGAGCAGCACCCGATACGCGTCGCGGAGGCGAGTGCCGTCGGCCGTGCGGGCAGCTAGCGCGAGTAGTGTACATGCATGCATGTCCACAGATCGGATATTATGGTGGCCTTCGTCTTCGTATATATGGAAGCTTTTGCAGACGCAGGCCGTCCGGCAGGGCTGTGATGGAGCTTGAAGACGAAGTCACGTGGAGTTGACTGGGGTTAAACAGCTTAATGCAATACAGTGGTATAAAAAAATTTATTTATAGTTGATCCTAGCTAAATGCAATGCATTAAACAGCTTAGAGACGGACCCCTGTCCGTGGGTTGTATGCTATGTCTTTATACCTGTCTGTATGATAGATTCGAGGCGTTTAGAGACGAACCCTCGTCTGTGGTTTGTACATGCCCTAATAGCGAGCACCACAATTCGGTAGTAGGGTACTTGTGTCATCCTAGAAACCAAAGTCAAATGAGATTATTTTATTTATGCACTCGAGAAAAAGAGAAATGAAGGGGGAAAAAGCAAATAACGTAAGTTGCTTGATTAGATTCTGTATGTACGTTAGCGTGTATTGGGTGTTGCAAATAATGAACCCACTGCGTGTGGTCCTGCACGTACCATCGACTAACACGTTGTCAGCTACTAATAACACTCTTAGCAGCCGACTAGCTTAGGTAGGTCAAAAGATAGAGAGCTAGTAGCTAGGTATCAGCTCGCTAATGAACTAGATAGTGACACTAGTCTAAACATATAGTAATGCACACAGCCAGGGTGTACATCATTAAAAGTCACTCTATGTACGTTGTATTAGGTTAAACATCTCTAACTTTAATTTAATAATCAATAATTTAAAAAATCCATATAGTTTCACAGCATGTGAGATATAAATTATGAAAGCATATTCCTTGTATTGAATCTAAAAACATAAACTTTATGTTGGTAATCTATACATTTTAAAAAAAATAATTATTATTAAAGTTAGAGATATTTTACTTAAGATAAAACTATTATGGAAAAATTGGCTCCTAGACACTGAAAATGACCACGCTTTGCTGCTGGACATGCAAAATAAAGCGATTTGCTGGAAGACACTCTGGTTCTTGACAAATTTGCAGTTGGACAATCCGTCCAATAAAATATTAATTTCTAGCTTATGAGGAGAGAGAAGGGCGGTAAAATGTCCTTTTTTTTCCCAGTCCCTTTCTTCCACCTTGGTCTCCTTCCTCTAGCCACCGCCACTACAGGAAACTGGCTCTTTGCCGACTACAATTTTCTTTGCCAACTGTTTTTTTTCGACACTCGGCAAAGAGGTCCCTTTGCTTAACCGGAATTTCTGCATTCGGCAAGCGAGATTTGCCG